TTTAGTTAAGCAGTACATTTAGGGTGTGAATATTTGTTTTTAGAAATTAACTTAGTTTTTAGGTTATACCTTCTATAATCCCAGCAACCGCCAATATTGTGCAATTTTTTGAAATCCTGTAGTTCTTTTTGTGCCTAAACGTAAGTATATTCCGTTGTCTTCCTGCAGTGTTTCAGATATTTCCTTAAAATATTAAAAAAGAAATTCTTAAATATAAATACACTTTTTTTTTTTTTTTAGAATTTAATAACTTTATTCTAAAATAAACCAATTTATATTTTTCTAAGGAATGGATCATTTGTGGGGTACCTGGCTAGCTAAGTTGATAGAACACATGACTCTTGATGTCGGGTTATAGGTTTGATCCCCATGAAAGAGATTATTTCAAAATAAGAGAGATAAAAAAAAAAGAATGGGTCATTGGCCTTAAAGAAATTATGACTACTTGGTCAACTTAGAGCCACCATCTATGTCTAAAAATGCTAAAAAGATTAAGCCAATATACAGCAGACTTCTCTCAGAAAGAATCAACTCCAAAGAAAAGAAAAAGCTACTGTAATATCTTAAAGGGTAAGTTATTATATGACATTGCTGGAGAAATAATACACAGTTGGGGCACCTGGGTGGCTCAGTTGTGCATCTGACTCTTGATTTTTGGCTCCAGGCATGATCTCAGGGTACTGAGATCCAGCCTTGCCATCAGGCTCCCTGTTCAATGGGAAGTCTGCTTGCAATTCTCTCATCCCTCCCCCTTTGTCCCTCCCCACTCATGCCCACTCTTTCTCTCAAATAAATAAATGTCTTATAAAAAATTACACAATAACAAAAATTTTACAAAAAGCTATATACAGAGTGGACACTGCTGATTGTCTGCTGGATGAAAAGTAAAAGTCATGGCAGTGTCATTTTAAAAAATAATACATTGTCATATTAAACATTTGTGTATACACCACGAAGTCTGCATTAATATCTTATTTGTAGAAGTATGTTTAAACCTTACAAATGGATGAATCTACAAAAATGGCTGGGCTCATTTTCCGTGTATTTGTCGCGCATCAGCTAGTCAAAGAGACTTCTGTCAAAGCTTGGCAAACATTCCCGGAAACAGTTAAAGCATTGAGTAGGTTTTTACTATATTATTTTAAATTTATTTTTTAAAAGTAATCCCTACACCCATTGTGGGGCTCAGACTCACAGACGTTAAGATTAAGAGTCACATGCTCTACCAACTGATCCAGCCAGCCACCCACCCCTTGAGAAACTTCTTAAAATCCTCTGGTCTACACTGATGTTTTCACTAATGTTGAAAAAGCAAAAGTTGGTAAAACTTTTGGCATTACTCAAGACAGTGGCACCAAAGTGTAGTAGTCATTCTTTACTGCCATGCATTTGCAGGGTAAGGGGAGGGGCGGTGTCAGTTCCACTTAAGAATGTTCTTGTGAGGGACGCCTGGGTGGCTCAGTTGGTTGGATGACTGCTTTCAGCTCAGGTCATGATCCTGGAGTCCCAGGATCGAGTCCCACATCGGGCTCCCAGCTCCACGGGGAGTCTGCTTCTCCCTCTGACCTTCTTCTTGCTCATGCTCTTTCTCACTGCCTCTCTCTCAAATAAATAAATAAAATCTTAAAAAAAAAAAATGTCCTTGTGATGGGGCACCTGGGTGGCTCAGTGGGTTAAAACCTCTGCTGCCTTCAGCTCAGGTCATGGTCCTAGGGTCCTGGGCTCGAGCCCCACATCAGGCTCTCTGCTCAACGGGTAGCCTGCTTCCTCCTCTCTCTCTGCCTATCTCCTCTGCCTACTTGTAATCTCTGTCAAATAAATAAATAAAAATGTTTAAGGGAAAAAAAAAGAATGTCCTTCTGAGGGGCATATGGTTGGCTCGGTCTGTTAAGCATCCAACTCTTGGTTTTGGCTCAGGGTTGTGGGTTCGAGTCCTATGTCAGCTCCATGCTCAGCATTAAGTCTGCTGGAGAGTCTCTTCTTTGTGAACAGTAAAATCCTTTTATGAAATCTGGACTTTTAGTATGTAACTAGTGTGAGTGATGAAATAGAAAATCCACATGTAGTACTTCAGCTACATGTTTAAATTACAGTGGTTGTTTTAAGAAAAAAAAATAGCAGTTGAGTTACAAGTGGAATTAGCTATTTTCTTTTCATGGTATTTTTACCTAAATGACTGTCAAAGTTGGCTATCTGGCAGACATTTTTCCAAACATAAAAGTGTACCTTTCAGGGAAAACAGTTGATAGCAGTTGTTAATGACAAAGCTCAAACTCTGAAGTGAAAATTAGAATTTGGGGAAAACTTGTATCCACTATCAGGAGCTTCACATCTTCCTAATACTTAAAAGGACTTTTTTTTTTTTTTTTTAAGATCTTATTTTTGCAAGAGTGCACACCCACACACATGCGTGTGCACACTAGCAGGCGTACGGGGAAGGGAAAGGGAGAAGCAGGGAGTCCCCACTGACCAGGGAACCCACATGGGACTTGATCCCAGGATCTGAGCCAAAGGCAGACACTTAATCGACTGAGCCACCCCAGTGCTTCCCCTCCCTTTTTTAAATGAGCTAGGTGGTGATACTAATCTAATTTGCACATATTATGTAATGAACTGGGTCAGCATCTGAGAGATTTATAGAACTTGGGTGAACCAGTATTTTTCAAATGACCAATACATGAAATGACAAAAATTGCAAATAAGTAATATTTCAACCAATACAGAAAATACACAAAAATCCAGCTACCTTCTGAGGCAGACATTTAAGAGAAATTAATTGCAAAAAAAGAAAACAGTATTACTCTATTGAAAATAGTTACTTCTATGAAAATGTTAATGATGCATTTATTACTATTAAATTTTTCTCAGTTTTAATTTCTAATGTAGAAATTAAGGATTTGGGCTTGCGAAAAACTAAAATACCATTCTTACCTAGTGAAAATGCTTTTATCAAAGAAAGTATCACTGAACAGCTACTAAACTTAACTGATTAGCAAACTTGTTAGCCTTGAGACAAAAGTATAAGGGTGACAGAGTAGTAGGCCTCTTACAAAAAATTATAAAGTACCAAGGTACAGAAATTTGGTTTATCTCATATAATTTTCAAACCTTCACCATATCCCCCTGAGATTCCCACATAACATCCAAACTTCTTGGGAAAGGCTATGCAGAGAATAAGGGTGTCTTACTTTTTCTATGGCTAGCTCACTGATATTAAACATTTAAATTTCCAAGTGCACGGGCGCCTGTGTGGCTCAGTGGGTTAAAGCCTCTGCCTTTGGCTCAGGTCATGGTCCCAGGGTCCTGGGATTGAGGCCCACATCGGGCTGTCTGCTCAGCAGGGAACCTACTTCCTCCTCTCTGACTGCCTCTGCCTACTTGTGATCTGTCAAATAAATAAAATCTTAAAAAAAAAAAAAAAATTTTCCAAGTACCCAACAGTTACCCTTGTATGTCTCAGATGAACATATACTGACCCATGTGATGGGTCAAGCACAAATTTGGTATACTTAGAAACTAAGCCAACATGCAAAAATACTATTTTATTCAGCAAATATTAAATGCCCACTTCAGCAAGTACTCTGCCAGGCACTTGGTAGGTAAACAGTGGTGAAAACAGACATAGTCCTTTTACTTTCCATCTCTGCCGATTACTGACCTAATAGTTAAGGGTTTAAATGATTTATAAAAAGAGGTGAAAGATAGGGGTGCCTGGGTGGCTCAAGTTGGTTTAGCATCTGCCTTCAGCTCAGCCATGATCCCAGGGTCTTGGGATTGAGCCCCATGTCAGGCTCCCCGCTTTGCCTCTTCCTTCTGCCATTCTCTCAAATAAAAAATCTTAAAAAAAAAAAAAAGGTGAAAGATTGTTTCATGATGAACGCAAAAGAGGGCAGCTATGCTTTCTGATGGTAAAAACTCAAGTCTAGGATAGGAAACCCTTATGAGTATCTTCTAATTCATGCTAAAGTGTGGGGTAATAGTAGATGCAGAGAGAAACCAGACTAGGGCTGTTGGCTATACTGTTTATGTGAATTCTTTCAAAGGAAAGGTGTCCTTTTATTATTCTAAATGTAAGATACCTAAAACTTTCAAATAAACTGAATACTGTAAAGAACTCCACATGCACCTCAAGTACTATTTGTCCCAGGGATGCATCATTTTTGTAAGGACTTAATGTTCATTTCATTTTCCAGTCAGGATTTTATCCAACTGGAAAAACAGCTAAGTATGAATACAGATCCAAGAGAAAATAGAAGAATTCTCATGAAGTTTTCTTTTTTTCTTAAAGACTTTGAATCTGCAATTCCTTTGATCAATCCTAGTCCTCTATTTTAGTTTTATACATTAATTTTAATAACATGCATATTTTAATTTTTAAGGCAGATGGTAAACTTTCCAGTTGGGGTCTTGTGAGACTTCATCTTGTCATGGGGCAAACACTATTCACAAAATGCAGTGCTTCATTTTATTAAGGGTGAGGTAAAGCCAATTTGAGAAACTATCAAGAGCGAAGCTGAATGCAATATGGCCCAAAATGTTTTGATTATGTTCTCTTCCTTTCCTTAAGGCCAGGGTAGCTTTCTACCTGCTACAGTGGAAAAAAGGAACTGCTATGAAGCCTGAAAACATACTCAAAACCCAAATCCCAGAGCATTTTAGTAGGCTTAGGATCTTGAAAGCATTTTAAGTAGTAATTGCCCAGCCAGTCCTTCCAAAAGAGCTCCAAAGCTCTGCTTAAGAACTTCAATTCGGGGACGCCTGTGTGGCTCAGTTGGTTGGACGACTGCCTTCGGCTCAGGTCATGATCCTGGAGTCCCGGGATCGAGTCCCACATCAGGCTCCCAGCTCCATGGGGAGTCTGCTTCTCCCTCTGACCTTCTCCTCGCTCATGCTCTCTCTCACTGTCTTGCTCTCAAATAAATAAATAAAATCTTTAAAAAAAAAAAAAAACTTCAATTCGATTCAGACCTTTTACTAACAGAGGTGAAGAGCTTTAGACCAGTTTAAACTGCAAACTGCAATTTTATTAACACTATTTTTCTTTCAAACCAAGTTCTTCATGCTGACATTCCCAGTGTTGGGAGGCACAAATACCATTAACCATCTTCATTCTTTGCATCACCAAGGAGTTCTTTCCCCATCTTGTTCTGAAGGATGAACAAAAGCTTGAGGTGTACGTTTCAGAAGATAAACTGCTGCATGAAGACCCCCTATGTTCACCCAGACAGTATGTACCTTCCGCCAAACATGTCCCATTCCAGATAATGCCTGCGTACACACAAAAAGGAAAAGTAATTAGCAGAAAATCTGTAGGCCAATCAGCAGCCTAGTTGGTAGTAAGAAACCATGGGGGAAAGGAAAACAAATCCTACTCAAACTAATATACCTTTTTAAAAAAAAAAAGTTTTAATAAATTAAAAGATCCTAAAGTTGCCACAGGGTGAATTTTTGGGCTAATTTACAGCACCTTGGTAAAGCATTTCTTGTCTTGAGTAAGTAGTGCAGCTCGGCCTGTCCCTGGTTTACAGACACGGCTCATCTCCCGTAGGCAAGCTGGATAAAGGTTCCAGTTTCTTTTTTTGGAGCCCATCCTAGAGAAGAAGATCCAGTGAATCAAACACTTAGTAGATAAACCTCTAGAACTAGAAACGAGAAGTTAAAAACTCAGTACAATAAAATGCTGATGCCTAAAAATGAGTAATCTGACTTAGAAATATGAAACAGATGAAGTGGCTACAGAAAAATTTGTTTTGACAACTATAATAATTGTATAAGTTGTCCTCTTCATGACTATAATAAACACATTACATAAACCAAACCAATGATGAGAAAACATTTATCCTGAGGATTAGAACCAAATTTTCCTCAACCTTTGGGAAGTATCTTGTAATTCATCAATGGGCCAGGAAGTGGGTTAGCCTGTGATGGTCAGGATCAAAATGTGGTTAATTAATGAGTTTTCAGAAGAAACAAAACACATGAATCCATCATATTATATAATTCTTAAGTGAAAAAGTGCTCTAAGTCTACTAAAAGAAATCGAAGATTTCTGATAGAATCTTAGAAGATAAAATGGGTACTAGTTTAACAAGTGAAGGTAAAACTCATTTTTTTTAAAAAGCCAAGTCCCACCTTTTTCCAAATGGCATGTCTGTCACAATAATGTCCACAGAGCCAGTTCTCAATGGCAGATTGCAGATATCCCACTGAACAGCATCTATGGGCAAGCTCCAGGACACTTTGCTATAGGGACAAAGTCAATGTGCTTATTATTTTGAAGTATGAAGTCTAAAAACATGAAGAAACGGTTATAAAATACAAAATGCTACTAAAATGATAGTATCTGTGACAACATTAACAATAAGCAAAATTTTTAAGCCAAAATGTAGGAAGAAAGCATAAGGTCATATGATAAAACTTGTAATGACAAAATCTGTAATGACTATTTAAAAAATGGTTAAGATTGGTTTCAAAAGATACCTGGTTTCATCTACAATTTAAGAAAACAGATCAAGGGATGAACAAGACTAACACAAAGAACTGCAAAAGATGACTGACAACAGTAATGAAGCAGTAATATTATGTAACTGAACGTAAAACATCAGTGAACACAGGAAAAAAGATTATGAAGTGACACATCTGAAGTTTGGTAGATCTTAGTAACAAGAAACATCTGCAAAATTAATAAGATAGTGATATTTGTTTTAAAATTAAACCTGTAGCACACAGAAGACTGAATAAAATATGATAAATGACAATGAATATAAATGATACAAATCCTCTTCATTAAAGCAAAGCTGCTCTATAAGAAGCAAGATACAAAAGGCAATAACATACAGGCTAAGAAAACAAATCAGGGGCCCCTGGGTGGCTCAGTGAGTTAAAGCCTTTGCCTTCGGCTCGGGTCATGATCCCAGGGTCCAGGGATTGAGCCCTGCATTGGGCTCTCTGCTCGGCAGGGAGCCTGCTTCCCCTGCTCTCTCTGCCTGCCTCTCTGCTTACTTGTGATCTCTGCCTGTCAAATAAATAAAATCTATTTTTAAAAAAAGGCAAATCAAAGACTGAGAAGAAATAGTTATTCTATTGAGAGATACTGAAGAATTTAAGAGAAAATGTGCAATAAAGGCTGTTGCTCCATAATGGGGGGGAAGCACAAATTATCAAAAATAAGCATATTAATCACATTTATAGGCACCAATAATTGCAACAAAACAAGAAGTGAAAATAAAATATTAAGAGGCTGATAAATAGTACAGGTAGAATAGACAAAAAAGGTACAGTGTGCCTGAAAAGCAAGATAAAATATACAGAAAATAGAAATAAATTGTTTAAAAATGTTTTATCAGGTTTCAAAAAAACGTAATGTACTAAGCCCCAAGAAATTTTCAATAAATATGCAACAAAATGTACCATAAAAATTCACTGTCAATAAAGCAAATTAGGGCCCCTGGGTGGCTCAGTGGGTTAAGCTGCTGCCTTCGGCTCAGGTCATGATCTCAGGGTCCTGGGATCAAGTCCTGCATCGGGCTCTCTGCTCAGCGAGGAGCCTGCTTCTCTCTCTCTCTCTCTCTCTCTCTCTGCCTGCCTCTCCATCTACTTGTGATCTCTCTGTCAAATAAATAAAATCTTTAAAAAAAAATAAAATAAAGCAAATTAAAACCTCTGAACTACTTATGTACAAAAAATTATCTAAACCCTTGCTATTCAGAGTTGGGCCATACCACAGCCCAGCAGCATGAATATCACCCATCGACTTGCTAGGAAACAAACTCCCAGGTCCCATCTGAAACCTACTGAATATGGATCTAGTTAACAGGATCCTCAGGTGACTCATATGCACATTACATTTTGAAAAGCACTGCCCTGAGCAACTAGATCAGTGAGACAAGTACACAACCAATGATTTAAAAAGAAACCAAAACAGGAAATTTTATCATTAAAGAAAAACATAGCATATAACTTAAAATTTTAAATAACAAATTTAAAAAACCTCAACAGGAAATAGGAATAAAGAAACAAGCAGTGAGCATAAAAAACACAGAACAAATAGTATATGAAACAACTAAACAAAGCACCAGTGATTCTAATAAAAAAAAAAATTAGTAAAGAGAATAACCAACATACAGACATAAAATAATATGAAGGATACCATGTATAAGTAATAAATAGGAATTTTAAATCTGCATCAATTGGATATATATTTTTTAAAACCACTGATTTCTATTTACAGATAGAAACCTCACATTAAGGGTTATGGAGACAGCTGCTTCTAGGTTTGCTAAGGCCAGTCATGGGATATAACCACTTCCCTGGGCTATGTATTCAGGATATCGAGCATCTCTACAGTTCAACAAATATAATGACCACTACCCACTCCTGCCACCTTCCAAGAAAATACAGGGTACCTTTATCCAAGGGCAATATATAAAATAAGGGCACCTAATTGTTTCACAGAAACACTTTTATGAGACCTCTGGTGAGAAGACCAAGTGACATTTCAACCAATTCTTCCAAAGACATAAAACTGAAAGAACAGTGAAAGGCTGGCACAACTTGCATCACTGAATGTAACTTGTAGTAGTGGGCTAGGTCTTAAGATACTGTAACAAAAAATTTCCCAGACACCAATGGACTTCCAGTGCACAGAAAGGATACAGGTGAAGGGGCTTAAAATATTTTGCTTGCAGGAGAGAGGATTTTGGAGGAGGAGGAGGAGTTTTGGTAGCCCTTCAAAGATCTGATGTCAAGCATCGTGTGACACAGAGCTAAGATTTTTCTTTATAGATCCAAGTGGGTCTAAAACAAATTTACAGAAGGTACAGAGAGGAATTCAGTTCATGACTAGCACTCCAAGTTGTGCAAAGCCAGAACTGACAGCCTTCAGAGACGGAGCCATTAGAGATAGTGACACAGACTGGAAGACCATTGGTCAGGATCTCCTATAGGACATTTAGGTACTGTGGATATGGCTTTCAGGTTTCTTCAACTCTTGAGACTGCTTTAGAGTGCCAAATAATAGAGGAAATTTCTACACAAATATGCAGTCATTTAAAAGACAGGAATATAAAAATCTAAAAATATTCAAAGTGGAATTTTATAAAATTAAAATGAATCAACACAGTATTTTTCCACTAAGTAAGAAAAAAGATACACAAATAAGAAAAAGGAAGACAAACACAGTTGCACTAGGTGGAGAAATTATAGTTAACATGTTCTTGTAAGTTATTTTCAATAAATGGCTTTAAAATTTAATGGAGTCTTACGGTATGTTCATTTTAGTTACAATGTCACAGTGCACTGGAGGTATTCATAATGTTAATATAAAAAGTGACCATCTAAGTCTAAGAAATGCTACAAAATCTTTTTTTTTTTACCCTTCTTTAATTTGGCTCTTGGTCAATAAAGATGAGATGTTATTTGCTGCTCTATTCACAGCCAACGGATTATTATCACCAGCAATATGATAACAGTTAGACCATTCAGTAGCCCCCTAAAAGACAACAGTATATATTAAAACCAAAGTAGCAAACTGCAAACAAAACAATACAGAACGAAAATTAAAAAACACCCCAAAACCCAGAAATGATTAAAGGGAAACTCATTTCAAATGATTGCCAATAAACTAGACAATCCAATCTAATAATCCAATGCTTTTCTAAAGTGGTAGAACGCCGCATGTTGTGAACCTTGCTATTCCCCTTGCTTGAAAAGCCCTCCTGTTCTTCACTTGCTGAATTCCTATGCATCTTTCAAGACCAAGCTCAAATGTCACACTCTCACATCAACCCCAACTCTCCAAGCTGTCTCTCATTTGCCTCCCCAACCCTATCAGTACCATTTTAAAGATGTTTTTAAATAGAAGTGTAAAGGCCCAGAAAGAAGTCTTACAAATATTTGGGGTCCCTTAACCTTCATTTCGCAGCTAATCACCGAATGAAGTTAGAAAGCTCTTTCTCTTAAAAGCCTTGTCCCCATTTTCTTGGTTGTAAAATTTGACCAATCTGAACACAAGGCTTCATTTGCCTCCCCAACAAAAGCACTTTGTACATACTGTCACTGCACTTGTTTTTTAATTATTTCTATACCTGTCTGCCTTTCAAGGAATCTCCCTAAGGACAAGTCTGATATTTTATTCAATCCCTCAGGCAGCAGTGTCTGGCACATAGTAAGCATTACAAACCTGAAATACAACCATGGTTTGAAAAACTTAACAAAATTAAAGTCACCAACCTATATCCTTTTGTCATTACAGAATTTTATATAGAAATTTTATAATATATATATTTATATATATATATTTGAAAATTTCTAAATAAAATGTAATATACACTGCATTAAGCTTCTGAATCATCACTGCTACATCCCTGAAAAGATTCTGTAATGTTAAGTCAAAATCATGTCGACAGAACATAAATACCAACGATACATGTCATTTGTGAAATGGAGGTAACACCCTACCCCAGGATGAACAATGTTCTAGATTCACAGAAGGTTTCTGATACCAAAGCAGAGGGAAATTTTGCCCTCTATTTAGGGATGAGGAACAAGTACCTCTTCCTTTGTAAACAGTAATACACTCATATCCATGAACACAAGGCTTCATTGTCTTTTCTTTTACACACATACTTGAGGGTGATCTAGAGGGAATGTAGAAGAGACCTACAGATTTTGATGAAAGCCTCTCAATTGATTCTGATTCCCCAATACTCATTTTTTTCATCTAAATCTGTTTAGATTTTCAGCCTCTGCAAGAGATGGAATTTTGTAGAACTTCCAAATTTTAAAAGAACTCAGATCACTATTTTATACTTGCATGAACAATTCTGTATACATGTCTTGTCAATTCCTTTCATAACTTCATTCATTCTGATCATGTATCATCTTAAATTTTTCTATATTAACATTCTCATGTCTACTCTTTTTTTTTTAAAGATATTTTTTATTTATTTGACAGAGAGAGAGAGAGAGAGATCACAAGTAGGCAGAGAGAGAGAGAGTGGGGGAAACAAGCTCCCTGCTGAGCAGAGAGCCCAATGCGGGGCTCGATCCCAGGACCCTGGGATCATGACCTGAGCCGAAGTCAGAGCCTTCAACCCAATGAGTCACCCAGGTGCCCCTCTCATGTCTACTCTTAAATGGAAATGCCTCAACCTTTATCCGTATCTTTTGGCGGGGCGGGGGGGGGGCTCTTCTGGACCCTCTCTAGCTCTGTTGTATATTTCTTGACATGTGGCGACTTTCCCTTCTATTTAAGACATAGGTACATCATGGTTTAATGCTTTGTTCCTTGAATTCTTAACAACTTGAGTTTTCTCTGTGGGCAGCTCTTTAGTCAGAGTAAATTTCTCTAGCTCACACTACCAGGAAACAATAGTCATCTAGACTACCAAGATTTCCTTCTAGGATTTTTAACTCCCAGATGACACATGTCATTTTCTAATTGCAGTTTGGATTATTTTTCCAATATAAATGGGTTGCTTTGGACTTGTTCATCTGTCCAGTTTCTGCCCACTCACAGAATCTGTGTATCTCCTTGCAGTTTATTCCCACTGGCTTTAAATATACTCTATATAAGAAATTACTATGTCTCATAAATTTAAGCAATTTTTTTTAATTTAAGCAATTTTTAAAAATAAATTTAAGCAATTTCAAAGAGGAGCACCCTCTTCCAAATTTTTGTTAAAATTTAGATAATACTGATTCAAGGACACTCTCCTGTTAAATGTTCTTCACTTAAGGGGCGCCTGGGTGGCTCAGTGGGCTAAAGCCTCTGCTTTTGGCTCAGGTCATGATTCCAGGGTCCTAGGATCGAGCCCCGCATTGGGCTCTCTGCTCAGCAGGGAACCTGCTTCCCTTCCTCTCTCTCTGCCTGCCTCTCTGCCTACTTGTGATCTCTATCTGTCAAATAAATAAATAAAATCTTTAAAAAAAAAAAAATGTTCTTCACTTAAAAAATGCCTTTCCATTTCCTGCTTTGCTTTAAGCAGTTTTTGAGTCCTCTGAGTATCACAGTAATTTTGAAAACTATTTAAGAGCATTTGTGTGTAACCATGTTAGACTTCCTGAAAAATCTAAGTAAGATTCGTAGGTTTTTCCATTTTAAAACTATATTTACTCCCTCCAAGCGCCTATGTGGATTAAGAAGCATAATCTCACTTTATAGAGATGGAACACCTTCTTCTAGTTTATGCTTGTGCCTTCAAGTCTACCAGCTTGTCTCTTATAGAAAAGGGACTTACTGGGGTGCCTGGGTGCTCAGTGGGTTAAGCCTCTCCCTTCAGCTCAGGTCAAATTCCTGGGATTGAGCCCTGCATCAGACTCTCTGCTCAGCAAGGAGCCTGCTTCCCCTCCCACCTGCCTGCCTCTCTCTGCCTGCTTGATTCTGTCAAATAAATAAATAAATAAAATCTTAAAAAGAAAGAAAGAAAAGAAAAGGGACTTAACAGTTTCTAACTCTTAGCCTTCGCTGTGATCCACTGAGTAACCACTACTTATAATCTACCACTTCTTAGCTAGTTGTAGTAAGTGGTTATACCCTTCACACAAAATCCCAGCTTTACTAGTGCAATTTTTTTTTTTTTTTTTTATTTTTTGGGCCGCCTGCGTGGCTCAGTCGGTTAAGTGGCTGCCTTCACCTCAGGTCTCCATCCAGGGAACATCATCAGGCTCCTTGCTCAGCGGGGAGCCAACTTCTCCCCTGCCTGCCATTCCTCCTGCTTGTGCTTGCTCTCTCTTTCACTCTCCCTTGCTCTGTCAAATAAATAAATAAAGTCTTAAAAAAAATTTTTTTTTAAACTAGTGCAATTCTTTTAAATGGGGACCACTGACCCAACGCTGATGATTTCATCATGTGTAATTTGCCCATTAGTTCTAGAATATTCTAGTTGTACCACTTGCTTATCTAAAAGGTAAAGAAACATTATTACCTCTATTGGTATTGCTCCCGTTCCACACATCGGATCAACTATTATATCAGTAGGTTGAGGAGCACAGAGCCTACAGAAGAGAAAACAGCCTATATGAAAAGACTTCAATCAATAGCTGAGGCTTTCACACACACTATTCCTGAAGCTATAAAGATCAAGGACCTATTAATGCTGACATTAAGGAACACCAATCAATATTCATTTTAAAAATCAATTTGTAATTAAGAGATTGAATCTATATCCTAGAAGTTATAAAAAAATTACATACAGCTAAAAGTACCCTCTGACCCAACCAAAATCACATTTCAGTGGCAGATGGAATTTAGCTTCCAGATCTTTCAATATATACACGTACATCTATCCATCCATGTCTTTAGAAAACACATAGTGTTACTTTGTATATAAACCTGTATTCCATAAGAAAAAAAAACTCAACTGTGTTTCAAGTAAAACATGTATTGATAAGTATCGATAATAAGTTTACTGGCAATTAGACATTTAATATTCCTTTCCTTATGAATTTAATTTTAAAGAACCTTGCCAAAATAACTGCTTTACTTTGAGCACTCAGTATTTGCCAAGTCATGGATTTAAGCTCTTTGCATGCATTATCTCATTTAATCTTTTTAACAGTTTTTCTGCGGATGACCCAAGATTTCTCAGTATTTTTCCTATAAATACCCCCTCCTATCCAATCATCAGTTTTTTGTTTTAAATCTTAAACTAGCTTACTTAGGTTTCTAATAGTTGCACCCAAAAGAACTCTCCATGTTCCTGGCTCCTACCATAATGCCTGGCAATACACAATAAATGTTTGTTAAATCAATGAAGGAAGACTGGGAGCTGTTCCTTTATCAAACGGGCCCAATATTCTATTACTGTCATTGTATGGATAGGTTCCAATTGTGCTGAACTGTAACTCCATGGATGAGTAGAGTGAAAGAGGAAGCAAAGACTGGAAGAGAAGGAAATATAATAATTAATACCAGCATATACCAGACACTATATAACCGGTATTAAGCATACAGTTCTACATTTACTCCTCACTAACAATCCTTTAAGTCTCACATCAAACCCATTTTGCAGTCTGGAGAACAGAAACCTAGAGAAGACAACTTGTCCTAGAGGTGGGAAGAAGCGCCCAATAAAAGGGTAAAGGACAAATGAGAAAGAAAGCTAGGTCTTGCGCTTGAAAAAGTGGAAAATCCTGGATGGTTCCTGAGATGCTGTGAGTACAAATTTTAAAAATATTAGTAAAAGTTCCCTGTGTTTATTTACATATTATACACATTTTTTGCCCCCCACCCCATATTATGCACATTTTAAAAATCTCTCCTTTCAGGGCACCTGGCTGGCTAAGCCAGTAAAGCATGTGACTCCTGATTTCCAGGTTGTGAGTTTGAGCCCCAAAATGGGCTTAGAGATTACTTAAAATAAATAAATAAAAATTAAAAATATAAAAATCTCTGCTTTCATCTGTGTCATGGCACAAAAATGAAACAGCAAAATTTGCTATATTTCCCAACATACGCTATATACTTTGTAAGCAGAAATGTTCAGAGGCAGATGAAAACTGTTTTCATTTTAAAATCAAGAAAATGGAGATGGTAGTCATGTGTTATTTTCAGGATTACAAAAAATCAACACTAGATACAAAAGAAACAGATGATTAGCTTTTTATCCTGTTGTTTATCCACTAAATTCCAACACAGTACTTCACAAAAAATTCAAGTGTTTTAAAGGGAAAATCCAAATCAAGGTGTCAGATTTATTTTTTAAAAAGATTTTATTTATTTGAGAGAGAGAGAGAGAGAGGAAAAGAGAGAATAAGCAGGGGGAAGGGGAGAGGGAGAGGGAGAAGCAGACTCCCTACTGAGTGGAGAGCCTGGCAAGGGGCTTGATCCCCTGACCTGAGATCATGACCTGAGCTGAAGTCAAACACTTAATAGACTGAGCCACCCAGGTGCCCTGATTTATTTATTTATTTGAGAGAGAGACAGAGAGAGAGAGCGCGCGCATGCGCGAGCAGGAAGGGCAGAGAAAGAGAGTGCAAGTGCAGGGGTGGGTGAGTGGGGGTTGGGAAGAAAGGGAAGGAGAGAGAATCCTCAAGTAGATTTTCCGCTGAGCACAGAGCCCATCATAGGGCTCGATCCCAGGACCCTGAGTTCATGACCTGAGCTGAATCAAGAGTCAGACACTTAACCAACCAAGCCACCCAGGCGCCTCCGAAAGTGTCACTTTAATCTAGATGGCAAACTCATTCTCTTACCTAAGCATCCCATAGGCAAGAGTAGATCTAAGAGTTGTAGGTCCAAAATGTGTGATATTTCTTCGGTGGAGACTCTCTTCTGTCAATGCAATGCCCACAACAATTTCATTATCATGGATGTTCAAAAGAACCTATAGAAGAAAAACAGAATAAAATAGAAGCACCTGGCTGGCTCAGTAGATAGAACACGTGACTCTCAATCTCAAGGTTATGACTTTAAGCCCCACACTGGGTATAGAGATTACTTAAAATCTTAAAAAAAGAATAAAAGTTTTAGGATTATTTACACTTCACTGTTACTAAACTTTGTTAATTAAAATTTTTTTGTCTTATCATTGAGCTATACTTTACATAAAGTGGACAAATCCCAAACATACAACATAGGGAATTTTTACTTATACACACTGTGTAACTGCCATTGAGATAAAGATATACAGTATTTCTTAAAAAAAAAAAAAAAAAGATATACAGTATTTCTAGCACAGGACAGAAGGCTCCCCGCCTTGTCCTCTGACAGTACCCACCCAAAGTAATCATTAATCTGACTACCACCAGCACAAATTAGTTTTCTTTTTTTGAACTTCATATAAATAAATCATCTAGTATGCACTCTTAAATTTTAAGGCGTTTTATTCTTTTTATTTACTGTGTTACTGTAAGCAGATATCCCCTGAATTTTTATAATATCAACATATTTTGTAGGTTTATGGCTTACACACATTTTTTTTAAATTTTAACTTTTTTGGAAAAGGTTTCAAACATATAGAAATGCTACTAGAACACTTGCATAGTAACTCCTAAATATACCCTGCATTTAGATTAACCAACTGTTGACCATGTCATACTTGCTTTATCACCTATTATTTTCTTACAGTGTTTTTAAATTTGACTCACTTAATAATGCCTATGAAATGCTTTTCTGTCCTACTGTTTTTCTAACACACGGTGAAATATAAAATATTCAAGTAACAAACATTCTCCAGTCTTCCACATAACATGATCTTAACAAGAGTACCAGCTGACACCTAGCACTTCTTATATGCAAGCCATTGTTCTCTACTTTAAATTCACTAAATTTCATATTCACATCCGCCAAGCTAGTTATCTTTTTAATTTATTTTCTTTTGTTGCAGTGTAGTTGACACACAATGTTACACTGCTTTCAGGTGAGTTAGGTATTTTTTTTTTAAGATTTTTTATTTATTTATTTGACAGAGATCACAAGTAGGCAGAGAGGCAGGCGGAGAGAGAGGCAGAAGCCGGCTCCCCGCCGAGCAGAGAGCCCGATGCGATGCGGGGCTTAATCCCAGGACTCTGGGATCATGACCTGAGCCAAAGGCAGAGGCTTAACCCACTGAGCCACCCAGGTGCCCCAGGTGAGTTAGGTATTATTATCTTCCTTTTAAAGTAAGGAAATTGAGGCAGAGACGTCCTCTTACCCAAAGTCATAGAACACTGAAGTTGGAATTTGAATCCAGGCAGTGTGGCTTCAAAAATCTGTGCTCTGAGCCCCCCTGCTAACTTCTGGACATTACTATTCTAGTTAGCCTAGTCATTCTTGTAACAGCTATTACATCGAAAAAAAAAGGAAAGGGGAATTGTTCTTCTGATTTGATATGCAAGAAAAATGTACAGAGAGAATAAGTGACTTGCCCCAGATTCAGGTGTCCCAAAAGACACAGAAAATGACTTCTTGGTGAAAATGTCAGGTGCTATGGACCTTTTAAACTGTCGAGATTTAAAGACTACTTAGCATGGTCCACACGTGAATCACCTGATTAGCAGAAGACTGAGACCAAGGAGAGTAAGAATGCAAAAAGAGGCATCTGCATTTACGGATCTAGCAGAATTTAAGAAAGGGAAGAGCTGCCTGTAGGATGAGTATTAGCAATGATGTCCTGATTTTAGGAGGTTGGCGTTTATTTTGAAAATGTACTCCACTTTTTTTCGTAGTAAAACTCTACAACCAAGACACAAAATACAAAATAACTGCTTTAATTCTGGTTGGATTTTATAATCTGAAAGTCCAAATAATGTAAAAAGTACTAGATTAAAAAACTCAAGTCTTAATATTTCCCATCTACTGAGCACTTAGTTTTCAGCAGGTTCACACCAAATATCCAAAATGTATTATGTCATTTAACTTTCAGGACATACTTAGAAGTATATGTCACTGCTGGCTCCATTTGAAACAGAGGCTCAGACAGTATCTTGTCCAAAGTTAAGCAGTTGTAGCGTCAAAATCTGAATCTAGATTTGTCTCATAGCCCATGCTCTTGTTAACCACACCCTATTAGCTCTGTGGCCACAATTTAGCTGACCATAAAACTGGTTAGGCTAAAAATGCTACCTATCTGTGATGGCCTTCTCGAATCATCATAATCAAAGCCAGTACGTACCTCCACATCAAAGTTGGTCATGTCAGCCTTCCACTTAAAGTAATCTTGAACAGCACCCCCAAAATCTCTTGCAGCCTCATTTGAGGAAAAGCAGTGTTTCTCTCCAGCCCGGTTGCATGTGACTCTAAACTTCAGCACTTTAGGATGAGTTTCTTCTTTTTCATCCTTCTCGTCTTTGGAAGATGCCAAATCATCACCTACTAATGTTGATATCTCTTCTTTGATGGCTGGATTTTCATAATAGTCTAAGATATGGGAATCTAAGGTATTATTAGTGAATCCTTTTTTATCCTCTTTCTCATCTGCTTTGTCTCCTTGTCCATTATCAACCTTTTCTCTACCTGAATTCTGATTTATCTTTTTGCGCTTTGTTTTTTTTTTCTTGAAACTGGTGTTAATTTTCCATACTTTTAAAGGGTCTGACCATGGAAGCTTCCCAGCCAGTTCTTCAAAATCCTTGAGAACTTCTTCCTATAAAGGACAGAGAATGAAATCCATACATCTCTCTCATCACCTTCACTGAATAAATCCCTACACTTTGCCTATAGACTACATTAATCATTACATTGGGGGTGGTAGAAGTACAGAAAAGAGGAAATAAGACAATGTCTACAATTAAGGAAATTAAAATTTCATTGAAATTTAAGATAAACACAAATTAAGCAACTGAAGAATAATATTAGACCTGTAGATCAGAAGTTGGGTTTTAAGATTAAAATGTAAGCAATCAGAAACTATTAAAAATGGTTACCCCTAGGGAGGGGAAGTGGGTGGATGAAAAATGGGAGGGAAATTTACCTCTCACTGACTGACTTCCTTCTGAATTTTGTGCTATGTATACATACTACTTTTAAAAGTAACTTTCTGGGGAGCCTGGGTGGCTCAGTGGGTTAAAGCCTCTGCCTTCGGCTCAGGTCATGATCCCGAGGTCCTGGGATCGAGCCCCGCATCGGGCTCTCTGCTCAGCGGGGAGCCTGCTTCTTCCTCTCTCTCTCTGCCTGCCTCTCTGTCTACTTGTGATCTCTGTCAAATAAATAAATAAAATCTTAAAATAAATAAATGAATAAAAGTAACTTTCTTTTTTAAAAGATTTTATTTGACAGAGAGATAGAAAAGTAAGCAGAGCAGCAGGCAGAAGAAGAGAGAGAAGCAGGCTTCCTTGCGGGGCTCGATCCCAGGACCCTGGAATCATGACCTGAGCCAAAGGCAGCCGCTTAACCAACTGAGCCACCCAGGCGTCCCTAAAAGTAATTTTTTTAAAAAAGTATTATTTGTTTACTTATTTTTTTTAAGTAATCTCTATACCCAACGTGGGGCTCAAACTCATGATCCACTGAATGAGCCAACCAGGTGCCCCTAAAAAACAGTATTTTTTAAAAGGAAAAAGAAACCAGAAACAGTGAAAAATGTATCTATCCAGTTTTTTTTTTTTAATGATTTTATTTATTTATCTGACTGAGAGAGACACAGCAAGAGGGAACACAAGCAGGAGGAGTGGGAGGAGAAGCAGGCTTCCCTTGGATTCAGCAGCCCCATGTGGGTCTCTATTCCAGAACCCTGGGATTATGACCTGAGCTGAAGGCAGATGCTTAACAACTGAACCACCCAGGTGCCCCTCTATCCAGTTTCTAAATAGTACCCAGAATCTTTTTAAAAAGTAAATCTGGGTGTACCTGGGTGGCTCAGTGGGTTAAGCCTCTGCCTTTGGCTCAGGTCATGATCTCTGGGTCCTGGGATCAAGCCCCGGGTCAGGCTTTCTGTTCAGCAGGGCACCTGCTTCCTCCTCTCTCTCTGCATGCCTCTCTGCATACTTGTGATTCCTCTGTCAAATAAATAAATAAATAAAATCCTTAAAAAAAAAAAAAAAAAAAAACAACAACAACAACAAAGAAGTAAATCTGATCGGGTGCCCGTGTGGCTGAGTCAGTTGAATGGCTGTCTTTGGCTCCAATCATGGTCCTGGAGTCCCAGGATCAAGTCCCACATCAGGCTCCCTGCTCAGCCAAGAGTCTGCTTCTCCTTCTGACCCATCCTCCGCTCCTGTTCTCTCTCAAATAAATAAATAAAATCTTAAAAAAAAAAAAAAATCATGCCCTCCTTTGCTTAAAGCCTCTCCACAGCTTCCCACCGCATAAAAAATCTAAATTCCTTAAATAAGCCCAACATAATCTGACCTCTGCCTATTTTGCTTATATCACTTCAGAACTGTTCTCTCTCCCTGCCTTTTTACCTCTACTTCAAAGATACTTGCTTCATATGGTCTCTGCACTGCTCCCTTCTCATTAGTAATTTAAAAGGCATATCCTCAGAGAGACCTGCTCTTCTTAAGGCAGTCCTCTCTAGTCATTCACTTCCCATTTTATTTTATAGAGCTTAGCATTATCTGAAGTTACTAGGTTTTTGTTTTGTTCACCATCAAAGCTTCTCTCAAAAGTAGGGTGGAGGGGCGCCTGGGTGGCTCAGTGGGTTAAGCTGCTGCCTTCGGCTCGGGTCATGATCTCAGGGTCCTGGGATCGAGCCTCGCGTCGGGCTCTCTGCTCAGCAGGGAGCCTGCTTTCCCCTCTCTCTCTGCCTGCCTCTCTGCCTCCTTGTGATCTCTCTCTGTCAAATAAATAAATAAAATCTTAAAAAAAAAAAAAAAAAGTAGGGTGGAAAGACCTGACATATCCTGACCACTGCTATAAGCCAAATGTCTAAACAGTGCATGGCATACAAACAGTACTCAATAAATGGCTACTGGATAATGTGATTAAATGTTAAAATGGGTGGTGCTGGGGCACCTCAGTGGCTCAGTGGGTTAAAGCCTCTGCCTTCAGCTCTGGTCATGATCTCAGGGTCTTGGATTCGAGCCCCCATCCGGTTCCCTGCTCAGCAGGAAGCCTGCTTCCTCCTTGCTCACTGCCTACTTGTGACCTCTGTCTGTCAAATAAATAAATAAATAAATAATCTTCAAGGGGGGAAAAAAAAGGGTGGTGCAGAGCCATGCTGTCCCATTCAGGAGCCACTGGCTACATGTAGCTATTGAATGTAAAATAAGGGGACCTGGGTGGCTCAGTCATGAAGTGTTTGCCTTCAGCTCAGGTCGTGATCCCAGGGCCCTGGGTTTGAGCCATGGGTGGGGCTCCTGGCTCAATGGGAAGCCTGCTTTTCCCTCTCCCTCTGTCCCTCTCCCCTGTTTGTACACACGTTCTCTCTCTCGAATAAATACCAATCTTTAAAAATAAAAGAATAAAAATAATTTTTAAAAAATAATGTAAAATGATTTATAATGAAAAGCTCAGGGGCACCTGGCTGGTTCAGGTGGTAGGACATGTGACTCTTGATCTCTGGGTCATAAATGAGTTCAAGCTGCACACTGAGCATAGAGCTTATTTAAAACAAAAACACAAACACAAACAAACAAACAAAAACAAAAGCAAAAAAACCCCACCTCAGTTTCTCGATCACTTGAGCCACATTCACATGCTGACGCCTAGTGGTTACTATACTGGACAGTGCAGACCTAAAACATTCCAGTAAAAGAGTTCTATTGCAGAGTGCTGGTATAGACAGTATATGCCACTGATGATCAAAGTAGAAAGATAATCAGTGTTCACTGATGAAACTGAGACTTGAAATGGCGAACAGTGAAGGTTCTGATAGTAACTGAAACCTGATGAATGATGGTAAATTTCAGGTTTGGCAATTCTATCTACAATTATTTCCCTTTTATAAAGGACATCTACAGGACTTGGAGGGGGTTTTTTTGTGGTTTTTTTTTTTTAAGATTTTATTTATTTATTAGACAGACAGAATCACAAGTAGTCAGAGAGGCAGGCAGAGAGAAAGAGGAGGAAGCAGGCTCCCCGAGGAGCAGAGAGCCCGATGCGGGGCTTGATCCCAGGACCCCGGGATCATGACCTGAGCGGAAGGCAGAGGCTTTAACCCACTGAGCCACCCAGGTGCCCCAGGACTTGGAGGTTTGATATCATGGAGAACACTCAGTCCCTTTCTCTCCAGACACCATTCTAAACACTACCACCAAACAGAAATACCTCCTTTATCTTAACAGAATCTACACGATACCTAAAACCTTGAACCATAACATAACAATCTAACCTAAGAATTCCCAAGTGCAGTGAGGGTCAAAGAGAGGTGCAGGAAGACACCAGAGGGAGAATGCCCATAGATTTCAGATAAAGATTACAGCAGTCTGAAAAGCTGTAGCAAATAAACTGTTCTTTGGAATAGCAGAGAAGTATGTATACCAACAGAAGGAGCTTCCCTAGACTTCGGTTTGTACCAAGAACAAGCAAGGGAGAAAATGGAGGCTAAACAAAGAATCTTACAGACACGCTCTATTTGTCGTGTTGATAAGGCAGAGCTGCTGAGAGATGTTTTACATTGTAAATAACCCCTAAGCTGCTGATCTCTTCAGGCTAGAGAGAAGTACTGGTTAAAAGAATTTTTGCAATAATATGGAAATTGTACCTCAATAAAGCTATTTAAAAAAAGACGGAAGAGAGACCTCATTCACCTACAACCCTTTGTCAGAAGGAACTTAACAGCAAAGCAGGGGAATTTCTTGCTGGCCTGAATAGTTCCTGGTTTCTCCCACAGGAGCCTCCTATCAATAGCAGGTCCAGGAGGAACTTCCTCATTCACAGCTGAGCAATCATCAAAAGTTATCAGCATGCAATTTATATGAACATAAGAAAGGACAAAGGAGGAAAGGAACAGAAAAACAAAGAGCAGACAAAAAACAGTGACCAGAAAGCGCCACAGAGCAGTTGAAAACTGATCAAACATATTGACATGACAGAAAAAAAATGGAATGAGGAAATACCTTGGTAAAATAAGAGCTCCAAGCAGAGATATAAAAGCAGAAAGAAGATGAAGTAAGCCACCATAAAAAGATGAAACAGGAGCTTGTAGAGTTCAAAGAATCAAGTGGAATAAAAAAATAAAACTCCTGCAAAAATAAAGACCATACTGAAAGCACCACATACAAAAGACACTGCTGAAAACACAAGGATGTGGAGAAAGGTTAAGAAAATACAATGGAAGCGGGCAAAAAGTAAAAAAAAGATTAAAGAAAATCTTAAAACATGAAAGAAAGTCAAGAGATTCTACAAATGTGTAACTGATTTATCTGCAAAGAAAAGATCTGAGATAATGAAAAAAAAAAACTTAGGGGTACCTGGCTGGCTTAGCTGGTAGAGCATGCAACTCTTGATCTCAAGGTTGTGAGTTTAAGCCCCACACTGGGTGTAAAGCTTACTTAATAAAAAAAATAATAATTCAAGAAAAATTTCAATAAATGGATGTGGATATGAACTCTTCTATAAACTGACATGTCTTGACAAGGAATTATTGACAATGAGACACAACCTGATCAACTTGTAAAACTTCAGAGATTAAAAATAAAATCTGGACATGATGCAAAAATATAAAGAAAGCAACAAGTAAGGGGGAAAAAACCAAGATGGCTTCAGAATTTTCCATGGCAATTTTTTTTTTTTTAAGATTTTATTTATTTATTTGACAGACAGAGATCACAAGTAGGCAGAGAGGCAGGCGGTGGGGGACGGGGGGTGGGGGGCAGTGTTGCAGGAAGCAGGCTCCCCGCTGAGCAGAGAGCCTGACGCAGGGCTCGATCCCAGGACCCTGGAATCATGACCTGAGCCGAAGGCAAAGGCTTTAAACCACGGAGCCACCCAGGCACCCCTATGGCAACATTTAATGCTAGAAGATAAAGAATACTGCCTACAATATTTTCCAGGAAGAAAAGCATGACTCCAAATTTTATACTTAAAGCTATTCATCAAGCATAAAGCTGAAAAAGAATCATTTCTGAACTAATGCCATTTAAGAGATAAAAACAAAACAAAACATAATAGGGGTGGGTGCCTGGTGGCTCAGAGGTTGGGCCTCTGCCTTCGCTCGGGTGGTGGTCTCCAGGTCCTGAGATCTAGCCCGGTATCTAGCCCGGTATCATGGGTTCTCTGCTCAGCGGGGAGCCTGCTTCCCCCTCTCTCTCTGCCTGACTCTCTGCCTACTTGCGATCTCTCTCTGTCAAGTAAATGAATAAAATCTTTAAATTAAAAAAAAGAAAGAAAGAAAACGGATTATTAGTACAGGCAGAATCTGTCATTTGTAAATATCACAAATTGGATTTTAGTTAGAGGAGGAAGGAAAGAAAAGATGCTGACATCTTCCTCTGTAAAGAGATTAAAGGATAGACGTTAAAGCTGCTAAGCAAATATATTTAAAAGAACCGGGGTTGGGGCACCTCAGTGGCTCATTTGGTTAAGCTTCTGACTCTTGATTTCATCTCAGGGTCATGAGTTGAAGCCCCATGTTGGGCTCCATGCTGGGTGTGGAGCCTACTTAAAAAAAAAAAAATAATAAATAAATTTTTAAAAGCACAGGGGTCAACACTAAGAAAAAAATAAAACTGGAGGGTGAAAAGGAAGGAGGGGAGATGTGGAAAATATGCCAACTTCATCACTGCTCTTAGTAGGGATTAAAAAAATACTAAACAGTAGTTTAAGTTGTAGTTATAGTAACAGCTAGAAACCTTACAGCCGGATTTCAGCACCAAACAAAACAAAAACGAAAACAAAACCTTCCAAACTAGTATAAAACAATCTGTAAAAATGCAAAGAAAACACATAGAGAAACTTAAAATAAGAAAAAGCAGAATGTGTGTAACATAAATGTGACAGAACCAAGACTAAACATTTCTGACTTAGCAATAAGTACTGGTAAGATTAACTACCTTTTTAAACAGAAAAATGACCCACAGATTGAATAGATATATGGATATATAAAGGATATCTGCTGAACCACTGTAAGAGCAAGAGTATGAAAAACCCTAAAGTCCTAAATGAGAATGTTACATTATGATGTAGTGAAATCCAACATGACATTGGCATGATCTTCAAGATATAGGAGAAAAGGCAGAGCACAAAACAGTATGTATGGCTTGCTTTAATTTGTCTAAGTACATAAAATGCACATATTTATAAAATATCTCTAGAGGGATAGCCAAGAAATTGGTGGTAGAAGTTGTTGCCTCCAGGGAGGGAACTGGATGGTTTGGAGATAGAGGAACAAACACTTTTCACTGCATTATCCTTTGGATCTTTATAATTTTGCTCGAAGTACATGTATTACCCAGTTTTAAAAACAACCCATATAAAGCATAGATATTACCTTTTTTTAAAATAGGTTAATCAATTCATGATACCTGAATATCTCTCTATAGACCAATAAGAATACTAGTTAACATGCTACTTATAAGATATGGGAAAGTATAATGCCACAAACAATGAAATTGGTGGGCAACAGAAAGCAAGAAGCAAATATTTAAAAACAAGGGTATGGGAAAAAACAAGAACAACAACAACAAAATCAAAAACCACACACACACACGAAAAAATAAAAACAAGAGTATGGGGATACGTTGCAATTTACATAAAGGGAAAGGCTTAACAATATTTCATGGTCTCATACATGCCCTTGCACAGATCTGAAAATCTACCTTAATCCTTGCTGTTCTTCTTTTGGGACTTCCACCAGCAAACTCTTTTGCAGTTATTTACAAAGCAATTCTGAAAAGCTGGCTCATGTAGAACCATTACATAGTATCAAATTCACCTCCAAGTGGAGCTCAAAACCATCCAAAATAATTCAAACTCTAAGATGCCAAAACATAGGAATTTAAGAAAATATTAACAAGGGCCAGAATTTAAGATGGAACTTTACAGGGTTTTTATTTTTTTTTATAGTTTTTAAAAATGCCCATTAGCATTTACTCATGTATAGAATTGGCTATTAAAATTTCCAAATACTAAACAGCAAAAATTTTCAGTAGCCTTCCTGTTATGTTCCAGTTTTACTGATATGATTCAGTTGACAATGATTATCAGAAGTCTGAAGGATTATAATGCTAGTATTGAAAGTTACATTTTTAATTAATACAATTTTAATCTATTTTTAGCCTGAATTCTTTTAGGTCGGGTTTTATTTTTTCTAGACTGGCGGGTTCATATCACTTCGATTGGTTACTGAATAATGCTTTGGAAATCAACCTGTTGCCAGTAAATAAAAACTAGAGAACTAGGCAGTATATCATAGATTTTAAAAATACACTGTTTCTAATATAGGCAATAAACCACAGAAAGAAAGTTTTCAAGCATCTGATTCTGGAAATCTGGCCAAAAAATAATGTGGAGAAATACTAAGGCCTTACTGCAATCTATATTTCAATCTTCAACTTAGTTAGCATATCAATATTTAGGAATCAGATGCTAAATACAAATTGGAAACAGAGCCATTGTCTTAAAAAGTGAAGGAGTTTTTAGATATTATTTTAGTTTTATTTTTTAAAAAAATGAAGTTAGAGAAGAAAGCAGGGCAAAAGCAGAACTGTGAGAGAAGTGTTATATGTAGATGATTCAGTCACTTAATCTTTGATTCATAGTCTGGAAGCAATTCTATTTGAAACCGTATATATAAGCAAAACTAATCTAAAGTATATACCTTTTTGTAATAAAATCAAACTATTTTGTTTCTTATACAATTTGATATTTTACTATATTGACTTTTGTTAACTTATTTTTTGTTATTCTTTCATCTTTTACAAAAGAGATGTAACTGACATACAACATTATTTTAGTTGCAGGTGTACAACATGATGATTTAGTATTTGTATATATTGCAAAATGACCACCACAATGTCTAGTAAACATCTACCACCCTACACAGTTATAAAAATTTATCATGTGATGAAATCTTTTAACATCTACTCTATTAGCAACGTGCAAATATGCAGAACAGTATCATTATTATAGTCATCATGCTATACATTACATCCCCAGGACTTACTTATTATATAGTTTTAAGTTTGTACCTTTTGACCCTCTCCCATCTGTTTTGCCCACTACTCACAATACTGATTTAAAAAAAAAAAACAACTCTTGGCTGGGGTGCCTGGGCGGCTATCAGTGAAGCATCCAACTTGATTTCAGCTGGGGTCATGATCTGAGGATTATGGGATCAGGCCCCACATGGGACTTTGTGCTCAGCGGGGAGTTGGCTTGAGGTTCTCTCCCTCCCTCTCCCTCTGTCCCTCCTCCCCCACTCTCTACCCCCTCTCAAATAAATCTTTAAAAAAATAAAATATAGGGACGCCTGGGTGGCTCAGTTGGTTGGACAACTGCCTTCGGCTCAGGTCATGATCCCGGGGTCCCGGGATCGAGTCCCACATTGGGCTCCCAGCTCCATGGGGAGTCTGCTTCTCCCTCTGACCTTCTCCTCGCTCATGCTCTCTCTCACTGTCTCTCTCTCAAATAAATAAATAAAATCTTAAAGAAAATAAAAATAAAAATAAAAAATAAATAAAATATAAAAACTTTTAGAATGAGCAGTCACAAATTTCTCATTTTTATATAAAATCCTCCCAGTATTCTATAATATATATGCAGTAGTAATGCTAAATGATAGAATGCAAAATGTGGGAATAATCTCTTTGGGGAAGAAGGCTGAAAGTCAGCTACTATGTTTGGGAAAACTCACCTTTGTTTCTTTGAACTGGTAATCTTTAAACTCCTTAACAACCACAAATAAGTTATCAACTGATCTCAGACAATGAACCTGGAGAAGGGGAAAAAAATGTTAGAAACAAAGTCCTAAAAAAGCTTTTGAATCACATGAAATATCAACACTTAAATATAAAAAATTAGGTAAAACATTTTAAGAAGCTAATACCTATAATGTGTAGTTTAAATTTTTCCCATCTCCCCAGTCTCCCATGCTTTTGGTTACCCATTAGCTTCTATTCCCCTACAGAAATGTAAGAAGGAAGACGGTAGGATAGCTTGAAGGGCTACCAGGGAAACACAGGTTTAGGGGAGAAAGGAAGATAAATAAAGACAAGTGGTGCTTTATCATATTTCCCTCATGGCTCCCTAGGGTACACTGTAGAGTGCAGTGGTTAAGAGCACAGGGTTTGAGGTCCAGCTGTGCTTACTAGCTGAGCAACCCTGCGGAAGTTACTTATTCCTAAGCCTAATAATTAATGAGAATAAAAGCTCTATCTTCACAAAGCAGCTGAGGTTATTAACTAAGATACTGGGTGGAAAACATTTGCTTGCCAATTCATCCCCCAAATATTTACTGGGTGTCTACTATATGCCAGACACTAAGAAACTGGGAGGTATCAGCCCAAGAAACCCCAAAGAATTCCTGCTCCCATGATGCTTATGTGGTAATGAGATATTAGTTAGCTTTTATTCAAGTGGGATGGCAGTTTGCTGAGCACTTTTCCCTTTCAGTGGTTCCTAATTACTTCTGAGCAAGAATTTCCTTGACATATACTAAAAGAAAAATCTCTCCTTTATGCTTCACCACCAAAGTCTAAACTTCAGTTAGATGTTAAAGTAAATAAATTCAAGGAAATCTGATATTCAGAATTTCTTCAAAAGTCACATAGGATTCTTTCTGGTGAAATTCATTCTCAGGAAATATTAGGATCACTTCTAAAACCACAGAAAACCTACTAGTCAAACTTACAGATCAGTACTGAATGGAAAATGCAGTAATACTTTAAAAATCACCAAATGTGAGGCAGAGCAAAGAAAAGCAAAAAGGATTCAAGAGGGATCAGTAAGGCAGAAAATAATTGTAAAATGACCTTTCTAGAAAACTATTTTAAATATTGCTTCATTCAAACCTGAGCCAGACTTTCCACTGAAATGTCAAAATATATCTTGCCCCGGTCTCTGCTGATTTTGCATGATGACCCCAATTTCTCTCTCACTTCATCTGCAGCTGTTTGCTCAAAACCAGTAGGTACAGTGGCTCCAATAGTGACTTGGAGGTGCTCAGACTCACTTCTGGGACCACTTTCTGTCACTTGTATAGCTCTCCAGTTCTCATGAAGGTTCACATCCATAAGCTGCTTAGTGGCTTCTTGAACATCAGACATGTTGGCAGTGCTTCAAAGATGCCTACAGTCCCCTTAAAAGCAGTACAGAAAAGAAAAAGAGATAATGCCTAAACATTATCACCTCATATTTCAACTATAATTAAAAAACACCTACTTTCTGGGCACCTGGGTGGCTCAGTGGGTTGGGCGCCTGCCTTCAGCTTGAGTCATGATCCCAGGGTCCTGGGATCGAGCCCCTCATTGGGCTCCCTGTTCCCAGGGAGTCTGCTTCTCCCTCTGCCCCTCCTCACTGCTCATTCGTACTTTCTCTCTCTCAAATAAATAAATAAAATCTTTAAAAAACAAAACAAAAACAAAAAACAAAACACCTGCTTTTGAGGGCTATTAGAATAACAAGGCAACACAACCACACAGCCATATGCAGTCAACACCCGTCAATCAATATTCACTGACGATGAAAGGATTGAAGAACATGGGCACAGAGGACCAGATGTAAAAACTGTGATATTATTTAAAAAGCAACATAGATGCTAAGGAAGAAAAGGAGACAGAGAAGTAGTATTTTCACAGCATGCTATGTCTGGTTTGGGACCACCTGTGTTGATAACAGCCACCTCACAGAGTTAATTCCCCAAAAGAGGCTGCAAGAACACACTCAAATACGTTTCTACATCCAGCCCTTTTTCAGTTAGTAGTTAAGAACTACTACCGGGCTTTGGAACCACAGACATGCGTCTGAATTCTTGCCCTCACCATTCACAGGATGAATGGCCCAAAACAAGTTCATTCTCCTATGCATCAATTTCCTCATCTGTAAAAACGAGAATTAATACCTCTCTTCTAGAGTTGTTGGGAGACTTGAGAAGCGCATACTGCCAGGCCCATGATTAAAACTTTCTAAGCGAGTATCTTCTTCCTTGGAAATGGACAGTGAATCATGCATTTAAAAAAGATTTACATCCACGATCTAATCTGGGAACCATGGAGTGGCAACGGTATTGTGAAATATCTGTTAACAGTGAGCCAAATTTCCTGTCTATAAGCGCGGGGTGGGGACGGCAGCGGAATTTACAGAGGTGGGTAGTGGGGATCAACAGCGCTCACTAGATTTCAAAGGTTGTGTGACCCAGAACAACACAAGCAGGCAGAGCACCTACACTGTTCTTGCTCTGTGACCGGGCAGGCGACAGTGTATATAACACTAATAAAAGTCAGTTCCAGCCCCGAAGGAGCTCATAATCCCCGTGAATACGACTTCCATCTCCTAAATAAAGCAGCTTGAGCCCACGAAAGTCATATCCCGCCCAGGGTCAGAGAGAGCCGATCAGTGGCGCAGGCTGGAATGTGTCTCTCGACTCACACCCTCCGCCCCAGAGACAGGAATCCCAGGGTGCGGGTGAAGGCCTAGAAGAAGCAACCAAAAAAGCTCCGCAACAGGTTCGGGCTAAAGTCCAGTTCGGTGTTGGCCAGGGTCGTAAGACAAAGGTCGTCCCTCCCTCCCGATGGACAGCGGCGCCACACCCAGCCACTCCCACCCGCCGCCCGGTTACCGGCCACCAGCGCAGACCCTTCTCGCTCCGGAACCCCGCCAGGCCCAGCGCGCTGAGGTCACGCCGCCGGAAGCCGCCTCAACTTCCCCGGAAACGGAAGTTAGGCTGCGCGGTCCCAGATGCTCAGATCTGGGGAAGGGCGCTCGCGAAAGGTCAGGGAGAGAAGAACATGCGCATTACGGTTTGTGCTCGGTGGCGCCGCTTGTGGGGTAGTCGGCCGTAGCAGCTGGGGCTAGGCTCGTCTGCAAGCTGAACCTGGAGAGCCCCAGAGCTCGTGGCCTGTTAACATAGTAGCTAACTTTTACAGCGTGCTTAGCCGTGCCAGGTACTGAGTAAGCGCTTCACACGCGTCATTTCCTTTGCTCCAACAGCTCTTTGAAGTAGCACGGACTATCCCAGTTTTATAAAGTCGAAAAAAGTGAGACTCAAAGAGGTTACATATCTTGCTCAAACTGTCAGGCGCAGCATTTTGGAAGCAGAACTGGGTCTTGAATCTGGATAGTGTGACTCCAGAATGCTTCCTCATCACGTCTGACCCAGTGTTGTTGAAACTAGTCTCTTAGTTAAAATTGTCTTCAGTACTTCTGTCCAATTGCACTCTTGATTACTTAATACTATTCTCTAAATACATATATTTTTGAGTATTTATTTATTAGAGACTGAGTTGGGGAGAGGCAGACAGAGAGGGAGAGAGAATCTCAAAACTCCACTGTCTGTAGCCCCTTCGAGGGGCTGGATTTCACACCCTGAAATCATGATCTGAGCGGAAATCAAGCGTGCTGTGTAGGGAGTAAGCCACCCAGGCTCCCCTAAATACATGTTTTTAATTTATTTTAGAAGGCGCCTGCCTTCAGCTTGAGTCATGATCCCAGGGTTCTGGGATAGAGCCCCACATCGGGCTCCCTGCTTGGCAGGAAGCCTGCTTCTCCCTCTCCCACTCCCCACTGCTTGTATTCCCTCTCTCGCTCTCTCTCGCTCTCTCTGTGAAATAAATAAATAAAATCTTAAAAAAAAAAAAGAAACGCGTGCAACTCAACAACAACAAAACACCCCAATTTTACAAAGGGCTATGGCTTGATTATCTCTCCAAATAAGATACATTTATGGACAACTGTCACATGAAAAGATGCTCTACATCATTAGAGAAATGTAAATTAAAACCAAAATGAGGGGCATCTGGGTGGCTCACTCAGTTAAGCATCTGCCTTAGGCTTAGGTCATGATCCTAGGGTCCTGAGATCCAACCCCAGTGGGCTCCCTGCTCAGCTGGGAGCCTGCTCCTCTCTTCCACTTGTGCTCTCTCACTCTCTCAAATAAATAAAATCTTTTTAAAAAATGAAATACATACTTTGGTGGGTAATTTTTTTTTTTAATGGGCAGTTAAAAGTTCCGTATAGAGCAATGGAACACTTACATGTTGCTGGTGGGAATGCAAAATGATACAGCCACTTTGGAAAACAGTTTTGCCTTTCTTCAGAAAGATAAACATAATTACCACATGACCCAGCAATTCTGCTCCTAGAGAACTGAAAAACAGATGTTCAAAAAAAACTTGGACATGATATGCCTGCAGCATTATTTGTAATAGCCTCAAAGTGGAAACTCAAATATTCATCAGCTGATGAACATAAAAAACATAATTTATATATCCATACTGTGGAATATTATTCAGTCATAAAAAGGAATGAAGTACTGTACTGATTCATGCTACGAAATGGGTAAATCTTGAAAACATTATGCTGTGTGAAAAAAACAGCGCCAAAAGACCACATATATGATTCCCTTAATATGAAATTCCAGCAAAACCAATATAGAGAGACAGAAAGATTAATGGTTGTTTAGGGCTAGAAAGAGTGAGGACATCGGTGGTGATAGCTAAAAGGAATGGGTTTTTTTGAAGAGGGAATGAGAATGTTGTGGAATTATATAGTAATGATGGTTGCACAACATGGTGAATATACTAAAAAACTGAGTTGTGGGGCGCCTGGGTGGCTCAGTGGGTTAAGCCTCTGCCTTCGGCTCAGGTCATGATCCCAGGGTCCTGGGATCGAGGCCCACATCGGGCTCTCTGCTTAGTGGGGAGCCTGCTTCCCTCTCTCTCTCTGCCTGCCTCTCTGCCTACTTGTTCTCTCTCTCTCTGTGTGTCAAATAAATAGATGAGATCTTTAAAAAAAACAAAAACTGAGTTGTACAGTTTAAAACTTTTAAAATAGTGAATTTTGTTTGAATTTTATCTCAAAGGAAACTTTGGTCTCATGGGAAATTCATCTGCAGTTTCCTTTGATGGAAAATGATAATGAGTTGTTGCAACAGGCACCTGGGTGGTTCAATCAGTTAAGCATCTGCCTTCGGCTGGGGTCTTGATTTCTTGGGGTCGTGAGATCGAGCCCCATGTCAGGCTGTCTGCTCAGCAAGGGGCCTGCTTCTCCCTCTCCCCGCCATTCGGCCTACTTGTGTGCTCTCTCTCTCTCTGCCGAATAAATAAATACAATCTTTAAAAAGAGTTGTGGATGACTAGGCAGCTCAGTTGATTAAGCCACTGCCTTCGGCTCAGGTCATAATCCCAGGGTCCTGGGATAGAGTCCCACATTGGGCTCCTTGCTCAGCTGGGAGCATGCTTCTCTCTGCCTCTGCCTGCCACTCTGCCTGCTTGTGCTCTCTCTCCCTCTCCCTCTCTCTCTCTCTCTCTGAAAAATAAATAAATAAGTAAAATCTTAAAAAAAAAAGAGTTGTCGCAAGATTTAAATGAGATTAACATGTTACCAGTCTCATAATTGAAGTAGACAATGCCCCTAAGATTAATACAATGAAAATTAAAAAAGGTTATTGAAATCCTGGCCAGATAACTGTTCCCTATGAAAGGCTCTTAGTAACCTTTAAATGTAAGGCCCATTCTCTATTCTTTAAAAGGATAAATTATCAAGTATTAGAGATAAACTAGGACTATATGAGGCTTTCTTTTTTTTAATTTTTTTATTAATGTATAATGTATTATTAGCCCCAAGGGTACAGGTCTATGAATTGCCAGGTTTACACTTCATAGCACTCACCATAGCACATACATTCCCCAATGTCCATAACCCAATCACCCTCTCCCTAGGTCCTTACCCCTGGCAGCCCTGAGTTTGTTTTGTGAGATTAAGAGTCACTTATGGGGACGCCTGGGTGGCTCAGTTGGTTAAGCAGCTGCCTTCGGCTCAGGTCATGATGCCAGCATCCTGGGATCAAGTCCCACATCGGGCTCCTTGCTCAGCAGGGAGCCTGCTTCTCCCTCTGCCTCTGCCTGATACTCTGTCTGCCTGTGCTCCCACGTGCTCTCTCTCCCTCTCTAACAAATAAATAAAATCTTTAAAAAAAAAAAAAAGAGTCGCTTATGGTTTGTCTTCCTCCCGATCCCATCTTGTTTCATTTTTTCCTTTCCTACCCCCCAAACCCTGCACTTTGCCTCTAAACTTCCTCATATCAGGGAGATATGATAATTGTCTTTCTCTGATTGACTTATTTCATTCAGCATAACACCCTCTAGTTCCAAGGGCAAGATTGCATTCCCTTTCATGGCTACATAGTATTCCATTGTGTGTGTGTGTGTGTGTGTGTGTGTGTGTGTGTGTATCACATTGTATATATATACCACATAGTATTACATCGTATATATATACCACGTCTTCCTTATCCATTGCCTGTTGATGGACATCTAGGTTCTTTCCATAGTTTGGCTATTGTGAACATTGCTGCTATAAACATTTAGATGCATGTGCCCCTTCAGATAACTACATTTGTATCTTTAGGGTAAATACCCAGTAGTGCAATTGCTGGGTCGTAGGGTAGCTCTATTTTCAACTTTTTGAGGAACCTCCATGCTGTTTTCCAGAGTGGCCGAACTAGCTTGCATTCCCACCAACATTGTAGGAGGGTTCCCCTTTTATATGAGGCTTTCTTGACCTAATGAGAGGGATTAAAATATTGAAAAGATTCTCTCCACCTGATTTAGTGTTATTTAATGCATACCTTTATACTATCTAAAATCATTTCCGGGGCACCTGGGTGCCTTAGTCAGTTAAGCATCCAACTCTTTTTTTTTTTTTTTTTAGATTTTTAAATTTATTCATTTCAGACAGAGAGAGAGAGGAAGAGAGCATAAGCTGGGAGATAGGCAGAAGCCAAGGGAGAAGCAGACTCTCTGCAGAGCTGGGAGCCAGACACGGGGCTCAATCCCAGGACCTGGAGATCATGACCTGAGCTGATGGCAGACATTCAACCATCTGAGCCACCCAGGCACCCCAAGTGTCCAACTCTTGATTTCAGCTCAGGTCATGGTCTCAGGGTCTTGAGATCAAGCCCTGTGGTGGGCTCCTCACACGGTGGGGAGTCTGCTTAGGATTCTCTCTCCCTTTCCTCCCTCCGCTTCTCCCCCTGCTCTCTCTCTCTCTCTAAAAAGTAAGTAAGTCTTAAAATAAAATCATTTCATATAAACAGATCTCATACTTGGGGAACGTTGCTCTAAAACATTATCTGCCTGTGTCATGGTAGGTGTCATTTAAAAATGACAGAATTTATTGAGCATCTGTTATTATGTGTCAGACATTCTTGTAGGCACTAGCGATAACAGCAGAGAAAAATTATCTAGATCCTAATGAAAAATAGAGACAATACAAGGAACATGTAGCATCCTGGTATGATAAGTATAATGGAGAAAAACTAAGCAAGCTGGGGGAATGGAGAGTGCTGGAGAGAAGGAGGGAAATGCTTATTTTATATCAGTTAGTTGGGAAAGGTCTCATTGATGCGGTGACAAAGCAGAGCCAGAAAAAAATGAGGGAACAAGACATTTGGATATCTGGGGGAAAAGCATTCCAGGCAGAGGGCAGGCATATGTTCCAAATGGTCTAGGAAGATCCAGGAGGCCAGTGTGGCTGGGGAGGAGTGAAAGAGGGGTAGAGAGGATTAGATGGGGTGGGTATATCATATAGGCCAATGTTTTAGAAATTATCACACATTCAAAAAGGATCACTCTGGCTTCCGAATGTGCAA